AACTATATACCCTACTATATGACATTCTGTATATTATCCTGGTGCTGTCATATTTTCTGTTTGACATTTCCAGATTAATGTTGTAGAGGAGTTATTGGATAAATCATATTTGTTTCACTTTTAATACATTCATCATTTACAAAACACTACCCTAGAGACAGAAATGTATCTGTGGTTTTGATGAAATTTGTTGAAATGTGAATTTGTGCATGTACAAGTACATCATGTATGGTGATGGGCGTGACCAGTATTTCTGTTAGGGTGAGACAGGGCTAACAGATGTACAGGTTCGTCCAGTTCACATACATGTAGGAACACATGGATCCAAGTTAGAAGTCTGACTCCGAAGTTTCTGGATTATACAGGTTTTGATATGTAGGCAATCACATGCTTAAGTTTACTGTTCATTTAATAGAACATGTATTATTATGCATTTCAAGTGTCAAATGTCTTGTATCTCCGAACAAATGCATGATACAGGATATATTTATTATTACAGTTTTTACACATGCAAATCTAAGGAAGAAACTGGAGTCAACCCCCACACAAACACATGATGATTGGGTAAACATTACATTGAGGAAATGTATATTGCTACTTGTCATCATACTTGTGTGGGGGTGGACTCCAACTCTCAGCTTTAATTTGCATATTCCAAAATATCAGCTTTCCTAATGGGATTTTCTTTATTGTAAATATACAGCATGACAAGTGCAGATGTTGAATTAATCTTCAGGCAGCTGAAAATAAGACAAAAGTAGAAAGGTGTGCAGAAAGTTTCATTTGATAAATGTGTATGCTTATATGTGTCTTTCTACAAGCCCTCTCTTCCTAACTAATTCCTGAAGTAGGGGACATTGAAAATGAGAATTTGACGGTCCAGATTGGCCACAGGTCAAGGTGATGAGTCTATTGCTGTAGAGATAGTGGAGGTCAGGTTTAGGCTCTTGACAGTCTTCATTTGGCCAAGATAGAAGACCTGATAGGTTAGTACTTGTCAACATCTGAAAATGAAATAAAACAAGTTTGTGGAGAGAACTGGATCTGTAGTATCCATAAGTTACTGATATAATCTGTATGACATTTGATGGAATCACAATTTGAATCTGGTGTTCAGAATGTATGTTTACTCACTTCATTCATAACTATAGGTGAATATATGCTTACCCAACTCAAAGGATACTATTTGTATATGTTTGACCCTTTAAGTTGCTGGGTTGCATCTGTCTATAATACGAATGATTTGTAAATCCAACCTTTATAGATTTGGTTCATAAACTTGTCTCAATTTTGCAAGGAAAAAAATTCAATTGTGATTCATTAATTTCCAGTCGTGACAAGGTGATGATATCTTAATCAGACATGTTTATGATGTCTTTGTCGCATAAAATATCTATTTTTGTGTATATCAAGGTGGTACTGGTCGACTCCTTGACTCGGCGACTTGTTAGTAGACAGTCTAATTTGTAGATGAGATGTCAAGGCCTCATTTTATGTCTGGTACCTGTATTTTTATGAGTTTGTCCCAAAACTGCTTAGAACAGCCGAATCACAGGAAGTCTGTGATGGAGATCCCTAACTTGCAAGGTGTCATATCCATCTAACCCCCAAGCCATTGTTGTTGATATGCAATGATTTTTCGGCAACATGCCCTCTGGTGACGGTTCATTATTATGCAGTGATGATTTTCACATGTAACTCTGCTGTGACCTGAGACATATGTCAACAGGTATATATATATGTCTGTACACACTGAAGCTATTTGATCATTGCTCAACCTGGCTGTTGATTGACATATATGTCTGTTAGACCTGCCTCATCAATCTAACACAGGTCTTTACATGGACCATCAGTAACTGCCCGCAGGGATTTTACACTGGAGACCAGTGTCAATTTTTACTCTCATCACATATTTAGGCTTTAGTGTGTAGATCAGATTTCGCCTGGTCTTCCTTTTGTCAACAGTAACGTCTTGGTTGGGAGCATTATGAAGGTGTTATACGTGGTTGACAATACATGTAAGCTTGGATGAACAGGAACTACCTGGTAGGTATAGCTAGGATAAGTACAGGTGCCAGTGTTCAATAATATATTTGTACAGTTCATAAAATGACTACATGCATTAATGCCAGAAAGTTTAACATAAATTTTGTATTTGTAACGTGCATAATCGCTGAAATTGAAATAGATTCACTGATGAGTGTCCATGGTATAACAGGTAAAAGTTTATTTATTTGGCTTATTTAGGTTAAGTCAAACCTATGACTTAATAATCAGGTACCAACCTCAGGAAGTTCATAAGTTAAAGTGGTCAGCTATTGCAGGTTGTCTCAAGTAAAGGTATCGTTAATAAGGAGAATCGGAGAATAGGGAGGGGGGGGGGGGGGGGGGGAGGGGGGGTGTAACTCTTATTGCAGGTGGTCTCAAATTACGGGTTCAGTTACAAGGAGAATTACTTCATTGGTGGTACCAGTCTCAAAAAAACCCACATTGGGTGGAGGGGTCTCAACAACTACTTTGTGTGTGTGTGTGTGTGTGTGTTAAATATGTTGTATTAAGTGGTCTCTAATAAGAAGTTGTGGTTGCACTTGAGCAGATTTGAATATGTCCTATTAAAAACTTATCAAGATAATTTATGTGAATGGGAGGGTTAACACCTTTTCCGCTATATATGGTACAAGTTATTGAAAGATATCCAAAGTGTCGGGTACCCTCTAGTCCGTACAGCCTACTCTGGTATTCTTCACATCATATCAGATTTTCATCGGTAGTTTTGTTATTGTGTAACAGGAAATACATTATACACTGTATTTATAAAGATAGCATTTTGTACGGACATTTAAAGGAACTTGTCACTGATATATAGATGTACTACCAAGGTTACAAGATTTAAAGATATAGCAACATGTAATGTAATGTAAATATCATTTCAGAAATCAGCTAAAAGGTTCTTACAAAACACATTTTATATACACGGCTTTAAGTTGTCTAATCCAATTCTTTGAAGTACGTTAACAAACAGAAATTGTGGTCAAGGGCACATCCATTTGTTGTGTGTTTGACATGATATGTAGGAACTATAGACAAACATCTTTTTTGTGTACATGTGTATTGTGTTCTTTGTACATGTACAGTCATACAATATAAAAAGCCCAAAGAATATGCTAATGAGGTCTATTAGGAAGTCAGCCTTGAGGATAAACACATTTGACATTTATCACATCAATAGTTAAGGTACATATTATCATTGTCATCACATTAAATTGAATTCCATCACACTTTGTGTCATAAATTGTGTGACCATGAATAAAATGTGATGTATTTGTATCGAATGCAATGAATGCAGTATATTTGGATCAAATAATGTACTATATATACTGTATGTGTAAAGAATGTGCATGAAAATAATCTATGTGATATTAATTGGCATGGGGTTACATAATAAAAGATATTCTAAATACCTGGTATTATATATGTAGAGTAGAGAGTTGCAAGTTAATGAAGATTTTGCTTGTGTATTTCACAAGTATGGAAAAGTTTTGTTTTTTTTTTTTAAATCGAACCGATAATAAAATTCAGAACTGAAGAGATTGCTTTGAGCCAATTTGTAATAGTTGAGATGTCTGTTCCATGGCATAGTTAAAAAAATATATGTAAATCATCAAAATAATATTCTTGTGAAAAAGATTTTATTCCAGAAGATACTTCATAATTGTAGATCTTGCTTGGTATATCAATGCTTGATCCAAGTGTATGGTACATAGGTTGGTAATCAGTGGAGCACTTACTTGGTACATTCTTAATTGGTTATATGTCATTAACTGAAACTAAGTGTTGATTAATGTATTCGTAATTAGGCATGTCTAGCATATTCAAATAGTTGCTCCATATTTTTATAAATATGTCCTCATTATGCTTTGTTCCTGTGTACATTTGTGTATGTACCTATAAAGCTCCAAATGTCTCATCCACACACTTGCGGTATACAGTTGTAGCTAGGGATGGCTCATGTGTTTGAATTTGTTCCCTATAGCTGGGGATACATAAAATCTTTTGTTTTATTCAGCTCTTGTGTGGTTCATGGTAGCTGGAAACAAATAATAATTTGAGCTGATCATGTTCTTGCAGTTGCTAAAAGCAGTTTCAGTACATTTGTAGGCGGCAATAACTAAGACATCATGGACATACATTAAGTTCATAACAGCTTGTCATACATATTGGTGCATTTGTTCTAGCCAGCTTTACCTAGGTTTCTACATATTTCAGGCCAGGTCAAGTCTTGAAACAATCGAGGTTTAGAGGAGATGTGTTATTCCAACACTTAATGTTATCTAGCTTTGATATACGAACTGTAGGTATAAACACTTATACCTATGTGTTAAGGAGTTACCAGTGATTCTGTTTCAAGTCACATTTATGGTTCTATACATTCCTGGGTATCTTTGGTGTGTAATGGTATGTACACATGTGTTTATATGATGTTTTATGATGCCATCTTCTAGCAAACTGTTTGTAATACTACAGCACTTTGTTCAAATCTGGGTCATATCAACTCTTTGTTACTGCCACATGAATGAACATCTAAATCTGGGTCAGTCTAGCTCTAACTTAGAAATCTGGGTCAGTCTTACTCTTGTTACTGCCACACGATGTAAAATAACCTTAGCTTGATTTGCATATTTTTTGGTAGCGTCTTCAAGATACAGACTAGACATCGAAATCTTAGCGTGTTCATTTTTGCCCAATCGGGTGAATCTTGTGAGGGGATTGTGAACGTAATAGCTCACACTTACTGGCCATTGCAAATATTTACAAAACCATGTACATACTTATCCAGCAATATATATAAGATGTTGTGTAGACAATATTAATATTCTTGTTTTACAAATGCTGAAATTATCATTATGTTGTGATTTGATAATTGCTGTAATTGTTGTAAATTTTAAGTATTGTGCTTACACATACTTAATTGTCATTAACATTTAAATGCTTGTTTACAGACGCTGCTTGGAGTCGTTTCTTGCTGACGTGTAGATCCTTTGGAGCAGAGTCATTTGTCTTCATATTCTCAAACCTGTAAGTTATTGTTTAGTTTGATCCAGTCCTTCCTTAAACTGTTGTTGATTAAACGATTATTCACTATTTGTAAAGAACAGCTTTGAATCCTCTCAATCAGTTCGGAAAACAAACGGGTATTGATACTAAAGTGACGATTGTATTCAGGGCTTGAAAAAAGCTTACGACACGTAAGGGTTTTTAAAAGCACGAATTCAGTCAAAAAGTCTTCTGTAAAGCGGCCTTGTTCTCCAGAATTGTGGATAACCGCCAACAATGGTTCTGTTTTAGAATTTATAGGTAGCTATAAAAACTGTGTAATTCACTACCATCTAGCTAGTGCATACACTGACTGGTGTAATTTGTGGAACTTGAACAACCCAATACTGTTGTATTGATATTGTTTAGTGTAAAACATCTACATGTTTAAAGGCTGTACAACTCCATGTCCCACTCCACTGTAGTCTTTCTGCAACTCCCCTTGACTCATTCACCCCTGAAATTTCATAATGAACTATTCCAACCTTTGAATTGAAAGAGTTCAAATGTGTTTTCAGGGGTGAATGAGTTCATTTTGTTTTGGTTATAAAGTTAACTGTTATGGGACTGGGCCAAGTGACTGATTTGAACAGGTTGGTTACAGAAACTGTCACAAGTTTCTAGGTCCTTGGTTGGAATCTGTGTCTTAAAATAACAAAAGAAAAAAGTTATGCAAGGTACATGTTTCTTTTCGGAAATGATTTATAAAAGCTCCATCATGCAGAAAAACGTTTTTTTAATGAGTAGTTCCTGTTTTTTCTTCCAGCAAAAACTGTCCTGGGTAAATTCAACAGGAATGGAGCTTTTCCTGAATTTTATATCTGTTATCCCTAGCTAGAAGTACCAGTAATTTCCACGTTACCACAAATAAGGTCAATAAAAATGTCTTGGTTCCTATTACGCTATCTTTATTTATACCCCCCGCGCTGTGAAGATCTGAACCTAATGACTACTGGTTGGATTTTGGCACAATTAATTGAGTTTCCTTTGCTCAGTCAAACCTGAACTTATTAGTACGCGTCCATGCCTAAAGAGCTTGCTTTGGATTATAATTACTTCTCAATGGTAATATAACTGTTTCTAAAAATAACCAGTTTCTTCGTAACTCATGTGGGTCATTCAAACTTAATGTTTACCCAGGACCTCCTTGTCAAAAGCACTTATTTGGAATTGCTTTTCTGGTCAAAATTTTAAAAATCAAGGTCACTTATAACTACTGCATAACTAGGAAACTTTTGGGCGGTTAAATTTTTGTCCCGTAATTAATAAGTTGTTGGTAATATTTGCCGAGTGTAAATATCAGCCTTCACATGTCATTACATTTATACAAACAAATATATGGTATTATGCTGTGTACTGGTGTTTGTACCGTATACAATCATTTTTGGCACAGTAAGTTGAGACGTTGGTGCAATGGAACTTAAAAGTCAAAGTGATGTCCTGCTCAAGCCACTCCTGTGGCATTTCATTTTAGGTTAAAAATCGGAAGTCACGATTACTAAGAAAATAAGTTCGGTTCAAACATATGAGTTTCTATTGGTCAGTCAAGTCTTTATCCAGTGGAATTGCTTGCTTAGGGTTGCTCTTGGGTCTAAAGGTCAAAGATAGGTTCTGGTCGCAGGTACTATGAATAGAAAGCAAGTTTTTAAGAAAGTAGTTTGGTTTTTCTCGGTAAGTCTAACTCATAATTATAGATTCCTTGTTCAAAATGATTGCTTGAGACATAATTTCATGTCTATATATAGTATTCATTTACTGCAAATATCTATGTTAAATCTAAAAGGTTCACCAGTGACAAAAATGGTTTGTTGCGGTTGACTAAAAAATGTTAGACATTGAAAGATGATACTTATATATAAACCGTTTACAATGGTATGTAGCAGTTGATATGCGCCACTAAGCAATGTAGGGTATATCTTTAGAATCAGGAATTCACAAACAAATAACCATTTAAATTGTGTGTCTGCCCAAAATAAACAATCTACCTATACAGACAGGGACTAACTGTATTTGGTATATCAGAGTCGGATAGCCGAAAGCTACCCAGCACAGGGCAAACATGAACAATTTATGCAGGTATTGCAAGACACTGTTTGAATAAAATATGTTTTTTTAAAGTCACATAAAATGGCATTTACGTTGAGATATTTGGCGATGCCTGCCTTTATTACATTTATCTTGTGGGTGGATGTGGGATGTGTGTGTAACAGAAGGGGTTTGTTTTAACAAACAGCGAGGGGCAAAAAAGGTTATAGCTGTGAGTTATGTGGAGTGTGTAGGGACATAGTGGTGAGGTATGTATAGGGACATAGTGGTAGGGTATGTGGAGTGTGTAGGGACATAGTGGTGAGGAATGTGGAGTGTATAGGGACATAGTGGTAGGTTATGTGGAGTGTGTATAGGGACATAGTGGTAGGTTATGTGGAGTGTGTATAGGGACATAGTGGTAGGTTATGTGGAGTGTGTAGGGTCATAGTGGTAGGTTATGTGGAGTGTGTAGGGACATAGTGGGGAGTAATGTGGAGTGTGTAGGGACATAGTGGTGAGTAATGTGGAGTGTGTAGGGACATAGTGGTGAGTATTGTGGAGTGTGTAGGGACATAGTGGTAGGTTATGTGGTGTGTGTAGGGACATAGTGGTGAGTAATGTGGAATGTGTAGGGACATAGTGGTGAGTAATGTGGAGTGTGTAAGGACATAGTGGTGAGTATTGTGGAGTGTGTAGGGACATAGTGGTAGGTTATATGGAGTGTGTAGGGACATAGTGGTGAGTTATGTGGAGTGTGTAGGGACATAGTGATGAGTAATGTGGAGTGTATAGGGACATAGTGGTGAGTAATGTGGAGTGTGTAAGGACATAGTGGTGAGTATTGTGGAGTGTGTAGGGACATAGTGGTAGGTTATATGGAGTGTGTAAGGGCATAGTGGTGAGTTATGTGGAGTGTGTAGGGACATAGTGGTGAGTAATGTGGAGTGTATAGGGACATAGTGGTGAGTAATGTGGAGTGTGTAGGGACATAGTGGTAGGTTATGTGGAGTGTGTTGGGACATATAGATAGTGGTAGGTTATGAGGAAGGGCGAGTGTGGCAGGACATAGCTTGTGGATGCCATAGAGGTGTATGCCCAAGCTTATAGGTGCTCATAAATCAGCAAGGCTTGTCTGCAATAATCAATATAGATTTACACTAAGTCCTTACAAAATTGGATCTTGTTAAAACGCTGTCTTCCAGTGTTAGGTTTTGGTGTGGTGGATGGAGGGGAAGCCATCGATTAAATGACCTGGCTTAGTGGCGTATATTTTCTCATCTCCTCGCTGATTGTTTCCTCTCGATTGATTTTATTGATTCATTACATACATTAAAACAGTTGTGACATTTGCTTACAGAATAAAGAGCTACATCTTGTTTAGGGCAACAAAAAATTCACATTGATAATGGGTTTCATTTATTCACAAGAATACAGTAGATTGTTCCTAGTCCAAGATGTCTTATTAAAACAACACTCGCTGAATTACAAATGAGTTTTAACCAACAAGTATGTTAAATTTTATGCACATTTTCTTTGAAAATTTGCACAAACGTCCATCTGATGCCATAAACGGTTCAATTCTACTACATCAGGATCAATATTCAGAGTATATAGAAACAGTTGGTGGGGGATTCTATCTAACACACTGCATTAATCTTATCTAATTTTAAGGTCTACTTAAATGTAGAAACCTGACACTTTTATGAAAACATTTTCTAGCATTGAACCGAAATTTGGTCCCAACCTGCAAAAAAATCATTACTGTTTGTTACTTCAAATGAGTTGGTTTATAAACATAAGTCTGTTGTGCTATAGATATATGGAGATTAATTATTTTAATTTATTCAGTCAATCATATCAACAGCTGGTGGGAAGGTAAAACTGTTGCAGTAGACTTGTCTGACGTAAATGTCTGGTTTAGATTTCTATTCCTTGTTGATGTTAGTCTTTATCTGAGTGTGGGGATGACATACTTGAGGAGTACACACTCGTACTCGCATACCAGTTACACCCCCACCACTTGACACTGTGCTACGTATACAATACACACACAAGCTTTCTGAGCCTCTATATATGGCTCACAAGCACCACTGGGTCAATATTTGTAGAGAAAATTCAATGTAAAATTGGATTTTCTACCTCTTTTCTCAACGGGGTAAATTTACCTGTTTTGTTGCGAGCGATAGCTATGAAGTATTTGTATCAATCTTTATCTAGATGAAGGTGTGCTTAGATCTTGATCTCAGATCAGCTACAGGTAATTATAAATAGGTGTTTACAGGAACACAGGTACCAACCTAGCTGTAGCATTTATAATTAGAGCATGCATTTTTTAACATTTTACAACCTGAAATATTCATCTCATTAAATTCAAAGCTTTATATAAAATTACATTAGGTGCATATGGTAGAATAGTATGACTACACTTTTACAACTTTAATTTCTCTGTTCACTTAACAAAGCTTTTGAATGAATAGAAAACGAGGAAATTGAGATAGAGAATTAAACAAATAAAAGGAAAATGGGTAAGTTTTCCAGCTCATAAGAAAAATAACAGAAAGAATTTGAACACTTTCATTTACTGTTTAAAGACTTTATTTCTTATTTCCTGTTAAATTAATATTATTTCCTGTAAACTCATATGAGAAAAAATTAAGGATGTGGGAATTTTTTGCATTACACATATATACACAGTAAGAGAGTTTATAAGCACCTTGCTTTCTAATCAGGAGGTCCGTGCTTTGTAGTAGAGTAGAGATGTCCGTTAAAAGGGAAATTAGAATAAAATATTTCTTTCATAAGTCATTTTTCACTGTGGTAAATGGGTAAGTACGGGGGTAATCACTCCAAGGCAGACCAAATGTCAAACAGCTTGGAACAAACTACAGCACCGGGACACAACTTGGAACAACCTCCAGCACCGGGACACAACTTGGAACTTAACCATAAATGGC